GGAAAATATATTGTAAGTGTTTCAAATCTGTTTAGTTTTTCGCAAGTTTTGCAAAGTCGGTGAAAGTTATTCGAAGATTTCCAGGCTTTGCGAAATTGTCGCAAAATGCTAAGCATGCTTGCAGGTACTTTCCAGTTTTCTCTAGGGTTGATCCAAAATTCATTCGAATTTTTTCAGACCCCATATTTTTTTTGAAAGAAAGGGTCAATATGTTGGATAAGATAGTTTGGTGCAGGAATAACGTAAAAAAAATAGAAATTTGGATCGTGTGAGGTCAGACCAACAGTTACGGGAATAATCAATTAATAATCTTGGGATCTGTGACTACATTTCTTCATCAAATAGTTGAATTGCCGAGTTGAAGAAATCTTTGCACTCGCAACTAGGAAGTTTACGAAATTAAAAGTTTGGCTGCTCACAATTACGTACGAAAGATTCCCCTTCGTAATCAAGTAATTGCACTGCCGCGAGATCATTATGCTGGAACCGTTTTGTCAGCGCGGGTCGTTAGGGATCGTTAGGCACGCATCGATTTCTCCTTCTTGCAAAGGTTGATAGTGGAATTCAAAGATCTGGGTTTGGTAAACTTACTGCGTCATAGCATTCCCCGCTGTTTATCAAGAAAGTGTAAATCTGCGAAACGCATTTTGAAAAAGCAACCGAATAAGAATAATTATTCGTGTTATGTTATCAAGCAAAAAATGTCCTTCGTCAAATAAAAAAAACAGATTCCCAGTTAGGTTCCACTCACAGAGCCCCAATAAATGAGTTCTGTAATCTTGGCGAGTCATAGCTCGTGCCACCGTTTTTTAGGTATTTTAAGTCTGTGAATCGCAATCTCATAGAGCATAAAGGTTCTTAGTTGTCTGGGAAACAGACTGGAAGCGCATCTAGAAAAGTTCAGACTTTTAATACATTTGGAATCTTCGTTGTCGTCATCATTGTCATCGTCGTCATCATAATCATCATCATCAATCATCATAATCATAATCATCAATCATCATCATAATCATAATCATCATCAATCATCATCAATCATCATCATCATCAGTTTTGTCCACATCGCCAATTCATAATATCGAAGTACCATTCCTCCACATTCTTCGTACATTGCAAAAGCCGTGCTATTTTTATGTACGAAGAATGAGTACATGAAGGGGGGATTTTGCTCAGCTCGATGGGCATCCATATATATAGATATATATATATATATATATATATATATATATATGTAGAATTGTTGCCAATTGTGTAACAATGGATCGGCATTTTGATGAGTTCAACAATGGTAACATAGAAGCCGAATTCAAAGGCGGGAGACAATCGAAACAATGCAGGCATAGAATGCCAGAATCAAAGGATTTTCCCAATTTTCCCAAACGAACAATCGAGAATCGTGAGTTTCCCGATTAAGTGGGCAATTGAGGTTCGCTAATCGACACTTAGGTCTATAATCGTGCTATTAAATTGGGTTCGGCTGCTAGCCTGAGATCCCCTTTGTGGTCATCCTCTTAGATTCGACCAATCACCTTTAGTTTTGCTCGTGACGTTGTGCAGTTAAAATTGGTTCTGCACGTGCATGTTGAACGGTAGCCAGAATAGATCAGAAACTTCTCGTAATCGAGAATGGTGCTTTCATCCTGTCAAGCGTCAACGTAATTAGACGTATAATTTGCAATTTGCTATGTAGGATACAAAAGAAAGTGCGGCAATATGCGATTTCACGAGTTTCTGCAAGAATTAACTTTCAGGCATGAGTCGTGGAAAATATATTGTAAGTGTTTCAAATCTGTTTAGTTTTTCGCAAGTTTTGCAAAGTCGGTGAAAGTTATTCGAAGATTTCCAGGCTTTGCGAAATTGTCACAAAATGCTTGCAGGGACTTTTCAATTTTCTCTGGGGTTGATCCAAAATTCATTCGAAATTCTTCAGACCCCGTTGGATAAGGTAGTTTGGTGTAGGAAAAACATAGAAACAATGGAAATTTGTTAAAAGTCTGAGGTCAGACCAACAGTTACGAAAATGACCAATTAATAATCTTGGGATCTGTGACTACATTTCTTCATCAAATAGTTGAGTTGAAGAAATCTTTGCACTCGCAACTAGGAAGTTTACGAAATTAAAGGTTTTGCTGCTCACAATTACGTACGAAAGATTCCCCTTCGTAATCAAGTAATTGCACTGCCGCGAGATCATTATGCTGGAACCGTTTTGTCAGCGCGGGTCGTTAGGGATCGTTAGGCACGCATCGATTTCTCCTTCTTGCAAAGGTTGATAGTGGAATTCAAAGATCTGGGTTTGGTAAACTTACTGCGTCATAGCATTCCCCGCTGTTTATCAAGAAAGTGTAAATCTGCGAAACGCATTTTGAAACCGAATAAGAATAATTATTCGTGTTATGTTATCAAGCAAAAAATGTCCTTCGTCAAATAAAAAAACAAATTCCCAGTTAGGTTCCACTCACAGAGCCCCAATAAATGAGTTCTGTAATCTTGGCGAGTCATAGCTCGTGCCACCGTTTTTTAGGTATTTTAAGTCTGTGAATCGCAATCTCATAGAGCATAAAGGTTCTTAGTTGTCTGGGAAACAGACTGGAAGCGCATCTAGAAAAGTTCAGACTTTTAATATATTTGGAATCTTCGTTGTCGTCATCATTGTCATCGTCGTCATCATAATCATCATCATCAATCATCATCATCATAATCATAATCATCAATCATCATCATAATCATAATCATCAATCATCATCAACATCAATCATCATCAATCATAATCATCAATCATCATCATAATCATCATCATAATCATAATCATCAATCATAATCATAATCATCATCAATCATCATCAATTATCATCATCATCAGTTTTGTCCACATCGCCAATTCGTAATATCGAAGTACCATTCCTCCACATTCTTCGTACATTGCAAAAGCCGTGCTATTTTCTTCGTAAATATTCTGAGTTTATTCGTAGTTTTGGAAGATGTACCAGCATATTTTATCCTTTTTAATATAAAATATAGTCTCACTGCAAAGAGCCTATTATATGTCAATTCAATTCACACTGGTGGAGCCAAAAACTATCGGTCTTCATAGGTTTGAACTCTTAATATTTTTGGCTCCTTAAAAGAGCTGTTACACAAAAGACAGGCTTAAGTTAGAAACAGGGCGAATGCAGGCGTCTGTATTGAAGACCATGAAAATCAGCCTGCTTGTCCTTTTGTTCATCTCTGTCTTCATTTAAAGAGGAAAAAAAGAAAAAAAGAAGAAGAAGAAGAAAAAAGAGAAATTTGAAATAAATTTCCAAGCCATCCATATATGTTCTATTGAATTTAGTTTCCAATTTGATCGTATATTATCTTGTGAAAGCCGTCTATCCACCCATATTCTTTTATATTTCCTGTCTAACTTTCGTTGCCAGCTGCCTTGTTCATTTTTCTTTACTATATTCAAACCTATCTAACCTTTAATGTAGTTGGTGTTAACAAGATTTTTTGTTTGATAATCCTTGTATTTTGTTTGCAGAGGGTGAGAAGATCGGTGTAAACACAATAATAAAAATGACAATCAGAGCAAGAAGCGAAAATGGCGTTTTATTCTATTTGGGAAGAGGACAGTACGATTACCTTGGTATTGAGTTGATAAAGGGAGAGGTAAGGAGCATTTTATTGAATCGCTTTTTAATGAATTCAGTTACAGGCATTCAACCATGATGAAAAGTGAAAGTATAAAATTCTGTATGACGTCACAAAAAGTTGAATTGTTTGATTATTTGATTTTTGGCCACTTGATCTAAATCATTTTGATCAGTTAGCAAAGTCAGTTAAATTGAACGAGATATGGCCAATAAAAAATTTGAAGTCTGCTAGAGGATGACTATGGCGTGCTCCATAAAGAACAGACGCCAAATTGCAGTGGTTCGATGGTGGAAGTTCCTGTGTCTATGTGGTTTCAGCCTGTTTGTAATAAATTGTACTTATGTTGCATATGTGGTTGTATTTCGTGAATCTCTCTCAGGTTTAGTTGACCAAATATCGAAAATTTATTGAAATAGATTTTTGTGATGTCATTACTTAAACACTTTGTTTCCAACTACGATGTGTCATGATAATTTTGCTTCAATACTACTGGTGGAACTTAGACTGATCACATGGAGTAAGCTCGTACTCCTTTGGAAAACAGATTTCGTAAACCGTCAGTTGTCGAAACTAAATGAGCGCCAAAACCACATGAATCTACGTTAATCACACTCGTGATTCCTTAGAAAATATTCGATACATTCTTCACCTAAGGTTTTTGTTTTGTAACGAGCCTTTCATAAACACATTTATTACGGTACCCTTATTCAAAGTTCCATTGTTTTTACTTGCGTTCAAAATGCTATTTATTTGTTCTTTTTTATATGCCATTTGAAAATGCCGGATACCTTTCTAAATTCTAAGTTAATTTCGAATGAAGAAAACATTTGATATATTTTATTCTGGGGCCTAGTTTCTGATGTAGGCATTTACAGCTTTACTTTTAAATCCTAACTTTTTAAGTATGGATGTATATTGATGAAATTTTGAAACTTTTCAAGGTCCATGTGGCAGTGCAAAATGGAGCAGGCTCCTACAAGACTAGTGTTGCGCCTGAGCCATGGACAAAAGTGTGTGATGGCAAGGCACACGAGATAAGCATAGTGAAAGAGGGTCGTAAAGTCACAGTTACTGTTGACTCAATGCCTCCAAAGGTTGTTACTGGACCAGGAGGATCTTCATCTGTTGACACTGGAAACGAACTTGCCTACTTCGGTGGCATAAGTATGCCTTTTTCAATTCTTGTCTTGTTAATTAATTGTTTTGCAGTTTCCAAAGACTCTTAGCTGGAAAATCTTTCTAAAATAGGCTTCTTGGATTCATAAATCAATTGTTTTGCAGTTTCCAACGACTCTAAAGCTGGAAAATGTTTCTAAAATAGGCTTCTTGGATTCATAAATCTCCTTTTCTAACATTCTGCCAAAATAACTTGGAAACAGTATTGATAGTCTTGATTTATACCATACAAGTTAACCATATATACCAAACTCGGAGTAGTAGCTTAGAACCATACTGTTCTATACACCCAATAGCGTACCATACAAGTTACAAGAAAAGACGTAGATTGTAGATTGTGTTACATCTGTCACGTCAATATCAGCAGAAAATCATCTTCATGATGAAAGCATTTCCTTGATCCAGCATGATAATGTCTCTCTCTTTATATAACAGGTTCTCGGGTTACTGCATACGGCATGTCAACACGGGATTCTTTCAATGGCTGCATTCTCAAATACGAGGTTGATGGAAAAGACAAGACAAATGTCATTACACCCGAAGGCCTTGCTGCGTACGGATGCAGTGACGCATAATAGTCATTTGAACTTTATAGCTAGCTAAGAAACAAATTTTATGTTTTAACTTTCTGTTTTTGTCCAATTTTATTAATGTTCTGTATTTTTTATAGTTTTCTGAAGTTCGCTTGTAATATTGTCTCTCCGCCATGCTTAGAGACTCCATAAATGCCACCTGAGCGAACTAGTAACATTATTACCTCTACCCGTAGCCTTAGGCCCTTTTTGTCTAAGAATCAACAATCAACAAGCTGACACGTGACACCCTGGAACTGGATGATATTCCAAGAAAGTATTCCGCTCTAATATGAACAGATTCCCATATGGAGGAGCATCTACGCAAGCGTACTTTTTCTATGCTCGATTTTCTTATCAAGAGGCTAGACCTCGCTATTTTACGATTTTCTTAAACTATTTTACTGGATTTGTCGTTTCAAGCAAGCCGAAAGCTGTTTCGTATAATTTTTTTGCATGTCCTGTAATTTCAGCAGAAGATAGTTAGTTCATTGTGATAAATTGTTAAACACAACTCGTTTTGTACTCTCAAAAACCTTCAAACATTCAGCTCGGTTTATTAGAGAGAAAAAATCATTAAAACTTCTTTATGTCCGCGCATTCATAGTGTTGTTTTCCGCATGTTAGAAATCAGTTCCCGTTAAACCTTAGTGATGTAACATCTTCTCATATGAATCAGCTTTTGGTTTGTCTTTAGTGCCAGCTGTAGATCCAGGTGTAGTTTTGTCGCTATAGCTCTTTAGGGAGCTGTTCTCGTGTGGAATGATCATTTTTTGCTATTCAATACATTATTTCTTGAAAACTTATTTCAAGTAAGTTAGATTGGCGAATGTACGAAAAACTATGACTGAACTTTCCGCTACACTTGATTTTACAGCTGGGCCACTTTCACCGGATTTGTCGACGTTTTATTTGATTTTATATCATAGAATTAATTTTTGATACCATGAACTATTTTTTTACGTAAGCAAGATATCGTAAAGGTTTTGTATCATTTTTTAAAACAGTTTTCAAAACATTGATTTGATAATGAGGACCTGCAAAGCAATTTGCAAAAAGTTGTCTTTCGTTTTTGTATTTACTTCAAATTTCATCGAGACTGCAAAAAGCTTGGAGTAATATTGCCAAGTTTTTTTGTATAGCTAAAATAAAAGCGACAGTTTAACTGGCTGGCCTGTGTGCCTTAGT